TTAGGAAAGTTAACAGTCCATCTGGCTCCTGGAGCCCTCTGGTCTACACAACATACCCTGTGGCAAAATGCAAAATACAATTTAAAAAAAAAAAAACTGAGGACTTTGGACATTTGCACGGGCTGAGAGAGTGGGTTGGGGCAAGGAAAATGCTCTTCCCTGAATTACTCATGCTTTTGGCTTTAACTTCATTTACTAAGAGCAATTCTAAGAGAACTGAGACAAACCTTTACACTCCGCAAAGGGAGGGAGAAAAAAAGCTTGTCATTCACAAGCAGCTATGAACAAAATCCACAGGAGAGGGCAGGAGTCAGGGAAATTAGGGATAAAAAGAAAAAAAGTTGGCATAAAGTGCACGGTTACTGTCAAAAATATATTATTTTCATCCTAAGAAAATTAAGAGAATTTTATCTACTAGATTGCTGACCTTTTAATACATTTGGTTTGCATGGAACATACAATCACCATCGGACATAAAAAGACTAGTTTGCTTTGTCTTTAAAAAATTGCTTGGAGTTATCTACAGGAATCTGTGAACGCAATTCAAGGATAACATTCTGCAGCTCTTTGGATATGGAATGAACTCCTCGGATCAGTCCACAAAGGGAAACAGGGAAGGGTCAATGCACTGACTCAAGTGTGCATTTCTTCTCGCTCCCTTCCCCGCTAAACGCCAGTGCTTTCCAGCTCGTCTTCCACCCCCACGGCAGGAGAGCGGGAGATCATGAAGAGTTTCTCCCTGTTTGTAAACCGCCTCTGCAGCGGCGGGGGCAGCTCGGCTGTAGGCGGCTCTTGGCTGGGATGCTCTGGGGGGCTCTGCTCGGCACCCGTGGCGGTGGCGGCCTCACAGTCTGGACATTTCCCGGCTACTGCGTCCACGACCGACTCCAAGGAGGTGCCGGTCTCCCGCAGCGGGGTGTAGCCCTTATTGCTGCTGGATGCGTCGTCCGATTGGGAGCTCTGCGAGTCCCGCCTAGCGCGGGGCGAGTCCTCCGGACGCCGCGGGGACGGGGGCGAGGCGGCGGGCGCAGGGAGGCCGGGGTCAGGGTCCGCGCTGCACGGGGAGGGCGGGGGCTCGGGAGACGGCGGCGCCCGGTAGTCTGGGAGCCCGCTGGTGCTGCGGCGCCGCAGGGCCGCGTACCTGCCGGTCCTGGGCAAGCGCCTGCCCTGCCCCCTGGCGGTGTGCACCGCAGCCGCCGAGCCCTCGGGCTCTTCCTGCTCGCCGTGCGCCCAGCGCGCACCGCCCTCCGCCCCGCGGAGGTCGCTCAAGCTCAGGTCGAGGTCGCCCCGCGGGATCTCTCGGGAGCCGCGTTCCCCGGGGGGCCTCTGCCAGCTGCAGCTCGCGCCCTCCGCATCCCCGTCCCTGTCGCGGTCCCCTTGCAAGGGCAGCAGCGCGAAGGCGCTCAGCGAGGAGCCCACGAGGGAGCTGGCGGTGCTCTGGCGCCCCCAGCTCTCGGGTGGGCTGCAGGGCGCGGGGCTGCTGCTGCCGCTGGCGGCTGCGGCGGCGGTGGCCCGGCGACGGCTGGCCACGCTCGAGCGCTCGCGGTATATGCTGTACACCGCCTCGGCCAGGCTCGGGGGCTCCCGCGGGCCGCGCGGGGACGAGGCCAGGTCGGGCGGAGACCCAGAGCCCCTGGCTCCGCGGCCGCCGCTGCCCTCGCCCAGCGCCGCGGGGTGGGGCCACGAGCCCCTTGGCAGCAACGTGGCCGCCCCGAAGGCGTCCCCGGCGCCACTGCAGCTCCCGGATTTCAGCTCCAGGCTCCGCGACTGCACGTAGCTGAGGAAGCCATTGAGCGGTGCAGCCCCGGGGGCCGCCGTCGCGGGGGCGGAGGATGACGAGGAGGCCGCGGCTGCGGCCGCGGCCGCAGCGGCGGCGGCCAGATCCTTGGCGCGCAGGCTGTGCACGTCGATGACGGTGGAGTAGAGGTCCCGCAGGTTGATGATCTTGGTCTTCTTGTCCCGGTTCTCATGGAGCACGGCGTTGGCGCAGATGAAGAGGAAGATGCCGATGCCCATGATGAGCGGCCCGAAGACCTTGAGCTTGTCCGAGTGCAGGTAGCCCGAGAAGACGCGGAAGAAGAATCCCATGTTCTTCGAGGAGGAGGAAGCTGGGGCTGCAGATCGCGCAGGAGGCGTGGTCCTGGGCGCGCCCACGGAACTGGAGTTGCCATCCGCCAGCGTCGCCGGGTGGGGGCTCCTGGGCAGGTCTTTGCCGCCGCCGCCGCTGCTGCTGTTGGCCGCGGCCAGGACGCGGTGGCCGCTGCCCGCGGGCGGCAGCTGTTTGTTGCCCTCTTTGTTGGCCCCGTGGGCCTTGGGCCAGTAGCCCACCACCGCCATGGCTATGCCCACCAGCAGCACCAGGATCCCGCAGAGGGCGATGAGCCCTGAGATGGAGCACAGCTTCAGCTTGCCTTTCACCACCACCACGTCGTTTTTGCGCCGCTTCTTGGCTTTCCTCTTGCGCTTGGGGACCTGGCTCGGAGGACGCAGGGGATCCTGCTTTCTGGCCGAAATCCTCAGGAGGCCGCCAGTGGCGATCATGGCGAACTGGTGGAGTGCGGGGCTAGCCGTGGGGCGCAGGCTCGTGCACGGGGGGCCGCCAGCTGCCCACTAGCTGCTCCACCACCGCCTCCTGCTGCAAAGCAGACAAGACAGTCAGAGAGTGTGGGCATGGCTGCAGCAATGTCCCACGCACTGCACTGGCCCGGCTCCCAGACCCCAGTCCATGCGCGCCCCCACCCCAGGACCTTCCCCCAGGAACGCATCCGTAGAGAGCAGGGGTGGAGGGGGACAGGAGGGAAGAGAAGTGCTCCTGCAGTAACCGACCAGTGGGAACCCGAGGACTGGCAGGAAGGTATCTCCCCAACCACCCCACCCCCTGCGACACACACACACACACACACACACTCCACTCTGCAGGTGATATCCTGGCTGTCCGTGCTAAGTCCTGCTGTCTGGCAGCCAATGGAGTGTCAACCACTACAAGAAACGCAATGTAGGGACTCAAAGCAGTGGTTAAGGTCTTGTCCGCCAAGCCTGTGTTTTTGGCCTGCAGGAACCGCATGAGCTCCCAAGGGAACTGCCACAGGAGTTTCAAGTCTCTAAGCTGAGGGATGTGTCAGTCAGTGTGGAGCCCAAAGTTATGAAACAGTCAGGGAAGTTACTATTGTCTAGAGGGGACGGAATGCACTCCACTGGATGACAATGAAAGGGTATGGGCGGGCAGGCAGGTGGCTTGTTCACTCCAGATGATCAATAGGCACTTCATTGCTGGGAAAGTACCAGAACTATGTCAATATTCTGACAATAACTGCCTTCACCAAGTGCTCTGTTGTTTGTTCGTTCTGGTTGCTGCAGTTAAAAGCAAGCAGATCCCTCTCACCGCTGTCTCCTCTCCACGCTGCAACATCTGGACAGCTTCTTTGGGTGGAATATTTAGTTTTAGGTAACTGCTTATGTAACTGAGCTCTTCCCCCTGGCCTCCTCTCTTCCCCCAGAGGAACTCCCTTAAAGATATCCTGTGCTAGATTTCATCAGGGAATTTGAGAGTCTCATGGACTCTCTAAGAAAAAAAAAATCATTTTTCTCATGTGGGGAAATTGTGATGTTTAAAATTTTTATTTTAAAAAAGCCACTCTGCCATTATAGCTTCCTGCCCTTTATTAGCGTGCCAACAGCACTCCTTAGCATCTCAGTATTTAAATGAGTAAGCAATTAACCAGGTAAAACAGCCCACATCCTCAGGATGGTGTACAGAACAGCATTTCCCCAAGTGAAAGCTGTTTTCTTCATCTTTCTCTCATGAGGTCATTTTCGGGAAAGTTGGGGAGTGGGGGATGGTGGTAACACGCAATGGCCTGTCCTTAGGAAGTTTATTTCATTCTTTGTAATAACACCTGGGGAGGTAAATTCACTGGTGCATATTCCTGGCTGTGTGGCAGCCTCTAAAAATCTCCTGCTGGATCCTCAGAGTAAAACATTTTTTTTTTTTTGTTCCATTGGTTGTGTTCCCTCCTATAATAGAGATGCTAAAATTAAGGGCATTGTATGAAGCTGAAGGATGTAGATACCACTCACAAGCCTCTTGGTTGGTATTTTATCCTTTCCAAGATAATGCATGTTTTAGAGTAAATTACACTTTGAAAATATGGGATTACTTAGGTGGAATTTTGCTTTTAATTGGTGCTTGGGTGAAAAAGCTTGGACCCTTATTCCTTATTCTCCATGGGTTTGAAAGCAAATGGTCATGAGCTCTTTGCACATCAATATCTCTTTGGAACTTCATTGGGTTCTGGGAAAGAGAAACACTAGGTGGGTTAGCCAGGGCTCAGTAGAGAATGCATCTACAAACCTTTAAGATTTTGTCTTAAGGAAGCACTGCATCAGAAAGTACAGACTGCTTAAAATTTTTTTTTAAAAAGAGCTTACTGTCTACCCATTACCCCAGAAAATCGGCACGTTTATATTGAGGCTGCTGTTAAAGTGGTCTCCAGACTCCAGCATCTTTCATGATCCGGAGATCCGTGGTTACCTTAGAAGCCTGGAAGGACCAGACATCTTAGGAGCAAAGCCAGACTCCCACCGACAGGGGGGCTCTCTCCCAGAAGAGGGGGCACTGCACGGTGCACCGGGATGCTAGCGACTGACTCAGGGAAGGCAGGCGCCCCCTGATATTTCTCCTCGGCAAGGCAGCCTTGGCTTGGGGAGCACGTCAGGAAGGTGGAAACGCATTTCAACAGTCGTCTACAGAAAATCTCTGGAATCGGTTTAATTGCCAGTCATTAACTCCCTAGTTTATTACTCCTTCGGCTCTGTGGAAAGCTTCACTCCTTTGTATGGTCTCACCACCTGACACGGAGCACCGACAAGGGTCGGCTGCCCAGGAAGAGCCCCGTTTCGAGGGCTTTCTTGGAGCCCTAGTGAAAGACAACAAACTTAGCGGCGGAGGTCGGCTGCTCTCGCCATTCGCAGCCCGGAGCAGGTCTCCCCGTGCCTAAGGAATGGAGGATGGGGGAAGCAAGGGAGGGAGGTCTAAAAATACAACTGCTTCCAAGACAGACACTCAAGTTCTCCGCTCCTGGCGGATGAAGCCCCGCGCGGGGGGCGTCTGTCGCTCGATGCCCGCAGGCTGGGCGTGCCGGGCCCCCGGTCCCCGACCCCCAGCCCTCAGCCCCCTCCCGGACGGACGGGAGGGCAGCGCTGCGCACCCCTGGCCCGTCTTGCGGGTCTGCTCATTTAGGCTGGAGTCACATGAGTGCAGCCGCTGCGAGTCCGCCTCTGGAACGAAGACAGGCAGGAGCGCAGTGAGGGAGGTCCTCTACTCGCCGTCTCCGGGCAGCTCATCCCGGGTCGGCCAGCCCGGGGAAAAAACCTGCCGGGACCCCAGCCCGAGGAGCGCGGCTGGCGGGCAGGACGGCTGGGGAGGGGCGGCCGGGGGGCCGAGCCCCGGCAGATTTGCTCAAAATGGCAGCAGTCTAAGCAAACAATCTCTCTCACTTACCCAGGGAGCGCGGGGGAGCTCGCGGCCGGCCAGCGGGCGCCCGGGCGACACAAAGGAACCATGGAGAAACTTTTTCAGCCCGAGCCGACGGCGGAGCGCGGGCACGGCGCCTCGGGGCCCTCGGTGTGAGCGCGGCTCAGCAGCCCCGCGGGGGCGATCGCCCGCCCCGGGCTCGCAGCCCCCTCCGGCGCAGTGGCGGGAGCCATTTCCAAGAGTTTCCAAGAAGTGTCAGGTCCTCCGCATCTTGCATCCTGCCTGGGAGCCCTCCTCTCCCGCGCCGCTCCTCCTCCTGCGCCCCGCGCCCCTCCCGCGTCGCTCCCGGGCGGCCGCGCGGTCCCAGGCCCTTGCGCCTCTTTTGTGTGGCTGCGGCGCGCCGGGCTCCGCCGGGTGGAGTTGAGCCCGCGGCGGCAGCTCGGGGCGGCCGGACTGGCGCCGTTGCTAAGAGACCGGAGCCATGACACAGGGAAATTGCGGCAGGATGGCAGGCGATACCCGGCCCGGCACGGCGGCCCGTGCGCCCCCGCCCCCCGTCCCCTCCGCGGGCCCCCAGACTCCCCGCCCCCGCCTCCTTCCCGCACCGCCGCCCGCCCCTTCGGAAGCGCGGCGCCCGGGAAGAGGGGGCGCTCGGGCGCGGAGCCCCCGGGGCGGGGCGCCCGGGGACCCGCACCTGCCCCCGCCGGCACCTCGGCGCCGTCTGAGCCAGCTACCTATCTGAGCAGCGGGCCGGGGGCCGCGGGAGGGAAGGCCCGCCCTCCCCCGCCCGATGGGGACCCTGGCGGGATCCGAGGGGAGCCCCGGACGCCCGCCCTCCCGTCCCTCCTCTTTCGAAGCCTCTGCTCCTTTGCGCGCCTCAGTCTCGACTTTGCCCCCTCCCGCTCGGGAGTTTGCAGTGCGGACGCCCGGCGAACACAGTGAGTTGTCCCCCGGCGAACTCGGGCCCCGGCGGAGGGGAGCCACCCCCGCTGGGCTAGGCGCACCGCGGGGCGCGCGGAAGCCTCCGAGGTGGCCGCGCCTCTGCCGAGCCGGGCTTTGTGCGCGCCCCAGCGGGACCGGGGCGACTTCCCCGGGCGCGGGCACCCCGGGGCTCCGCCGAGGTTACCGGGGGCTCCGGGGGCCCTTTCTGCCCGCTGCGGCCAGCGGCAAGCGCGCGCAAAGGAAGACGAGAATTCTCCAGGAATCGGGGTTAGCGCCGGGGGTGGGGGTGGCGGGTGGGGGGGAGAAGGAGGATGTCCAAACTCCCTACGTCATTTAAAAAAGGGAGAAGGGAAGAGCGAGAGAGACATGCTGTTTCCTAGCTCATCCCTCTCGTCTCAACTGCAAAGTGAAAATGACAGGCCAAAGAGAATCGCAAAGTGGAATTTCCCCATGGAGTGTTGAGAAAGTAAGAAAGATTTCAATTATCTATTGAAATGAGGCAGCCAAGATTCAGGAAGAGAGGGCAGACAAGCAAGTGCTGCCCAAGACTGGGGATCCAGATCGGAATATTTGGAGGAGGGATACTGACTATCCCGACTTCCGCGGTGTAGGGGTCCACAAAACCCACACTGAAGGGCTTTGCTGCCCACAGCGGTGGTGAGAGGGTTGCTCCCAAGATACGCAGCATTCCCCTGTGTTGCAACCCAGAGCGCACACTTTTGTCAAACTAAGAATGAAAGATGCATGTTTGGTGTTTTGAAGTGGAGGATGATATGTCAGGTGGGGGTCATTTTCTAGAAGGTATTCCTGCACCTGCCCGATTGGAAGGGGGCCTGTGCCGTGCTTTGTCAGGCGACTGAGTCCGGATTATGATCGGAGTTTTACGAGTCTAACCTCCCTCCCCTGCTGAAATTCTGAACCTTAAAAAGCCCTAACAAAGGGAGGTTTTATGACCCACACTGAATTGGTTCCTTGTAGAGAAATCCCTGCAAAGGAGAAATAACTAGGTCTAGTTGTTTTCTACTGCAAGTTTGGCTCCAAAGTCAGGATTTCTTGAATGCCGGTGATAATCTGGTGTTTTGTACAGAGATTGGGCCTGTAGTTTTATTTCATTACACCACTGGCTGCCAGGGGCCGTAGGTGGCAGTTCCTAGCCTCTGTTTGCTGGGCTGTATAAACAAGAACCATATTGCAGAACTTCATTAGGATTTTAGGTGGATTAAGCCAGTAATAGTTTCACATTGCTGCATAAATTATAGCCATCGTTTTGCACATTTAAAACTCATTTGAGGGATTTGGAAAAGAAAAGAATCTTTTTCAAGACACACTGGGCCTTGGGACATAGCTGGCTTTTTCTTATGTTGATGACTGCAATGAAATTTATGGTTTATTATTCAGAGACTTCCTTCCACACTGAGCTCCTTGCAATTTTGTGCAGTTCTATTTAACCTGAGCATTACCACGTTCAGTAATTTTCTTTGTTTTCAGCTCAGGGTATCAGAGGAAATCAAACAGATCACATCTGTTTCCAGCGGAGTCCTTCATCCCCTCTGTAATACAGGATCAACATCCATTCCCTGGGTTTTCCAGTCAGGTGTTATTTGGAAAAGAACAACCATACTCTCGGCCCCTCTGGGTTCCTTTCCCTTCTAATTTCACCGACCAGTTCTGTTCAGATCATTTCTGAGATTAGGCGAGAGCACTTTCACCCTGCTGAGGACTGAAGGGCCAGGGCTGCCTAATCGTAATAATTCGCTCGCGTCTCCAGAGCTCAGAGCACAGCACAACATTCGGAATGTAGCAGCAGAGAGAGTGTTGAAGGAAAGCGTTGGGGCTGGGGGTGAGGGAGAGAAGAGGAAAATGAGTAGTGCGGTTAGATTGAACTCTGACCTGTAACCTTTCACTCGCTCGCTCTTCTAAGGACTCCTGATACAATATGTTTATAATTTATTCACCACTCATTGACCTACCCTGATCATTTCATCCACCTGGCCTGGCTGCCTTGCCTGCACAACCAGGGCTGCACACGGGGAGACCATGGCCTGCACTAGCCCACCTAGAACCCCTTGTCTTCAGGATGTGGGGTGGAATCAACTTGGGCTCCCTGCTGACAGCGCCTGCCTCTCTGCACACCTTGCTCTGCAGAGGGTTTAGCCTGTGGAAGCAGATGGAGTGGTTCTGGAACCAGTTTGTCTCCTCCACTCACCTACTACTTCAGTTAAGTAACTAAATTGCTTCAGCTTGCCTGCCTCAGTTTCCCCATGTGCAGTGGGGACAATGACACTTACGCCTATCTCGTATCATCAAGTGTAGATGGTATAGGCCAATGTTTAGCACATGAAAAACACTAATTAAACTTAACCATGATGTCATCTCATCCGGTACTCTTCGTTCTGTTCCATTCATATTCACTGGGATGGACATGGGCCCTATCCGCATTTCCTTTCCCTGACATGGGATTGAAGGGTCAATGGCTGTGAATGAACTGTCCCTTTCCCCCATGACATGGGCCCTGTGTTGTTCCAGAAGGCCTGCCCTGCAGAGAGCTGAAAAACGCTATTTCCAGTGCTCCTTTGCAGGAAACCAGGGCGCTTTTATTCCAGTTGCTTGAGAACCCAGACTTCAAACATGTGTCCCTCTAGAGTTAAGCTAGAAATTTGCCAAAGCACAACCAAAGAGGTTGTTCTGCAGACCAAATGTTGAAGGACTTTGCAGGAAGTACTCCTGGGCCATTGTATGACAACTCTACATAGGAAGAAAATTCCCTAACCTGAAAAGGAGACCTACAGTCTCTCCTTCCCCATTGTTCCTTGTTTATCCTCTTCATGCCTCTGCCAATAGAGAACACAAGGACACAAAGGCATGGCAAAATAAGACAATAAACTAAGCACACAACTACAGGCAGAGATGGAACAAGCTGAAAGATTGCACAAGATGTACTTCCAGGAAAAACCATTTGTTGTTTTCCTAATAGTCAGATTTGACCGAGTGTCCTGTGTTTTATCTGCAGCCCCTCCACACAGTACCCTGTAGTCCCACACTTGTTTCCTGGCACGCGCAAAGGACAAAAGTGGCTGAAATGCAACAGTGCGTGAAAGCCTCATTAGGTTTCTTTGGGAACAGAATAGGTGGAAAGAGAGAAGACCTGGCCAGGCCCGGATTGAGCAACAGAACCAGAAAGCCTGAGGATGGCATTTTCACAGCTGGGCTGCACTGGGCCTCAGGGTTTCCCAGGCTAGAGGTTATGTGGTTTGTGTTTCTAGTTCTTCCCCATGGAACAGCGCGGAGCTGCAGGGACAGACGCTTGCCTCTGCCTCCGATCCCCAGGGCCCCACAAATGAACCTCTGAGGAGAGAGAACACAGCCTCACTTTCAAGAACTCCAGTTTTGAAACCAAGGATAAACTCAGGCTGTTGTCAAGGTCATGCTGCAGCCCATTTCTTCTGTTTCTGAGAAGTGTTACAGAAGTTCAAGCCCAGACGCTTCCACCACGAAGCATGAGGAAGAGAAATGATGCAGAATCCGAAGAGCGCTCCTTGGAATGCTTCAGACGAGGCCCTAAACCTCCGATCCAGATAAATGGCCTGTGACAATGACAGTCCTCATCTCTGTCTTCAACTCCATCCCTTCTTACTATTCCAGATAACCAAGCTCTCAATTAGAGACCTGTTGGGAGTGTTTCCTCTTCTAAGTAGATTCAGTTTTGTACATTCACGTCTCTCCGATAGCCTGAAGTTTTCTGCCATTCTCCTTGTCCATCATCAAAGCTGGGTTCTGTGCCTTGTGAAGTGTTTGAAGTCCGAGATGAGAAATGAGAGTGTGCTGGCAGATCAAAGCTGCACTTGGTAAGGGCTTGAAGACAGGGACTCCCGTCAACGAGGAGCCAAGAAGTGACCCACAACTAAATGCGCCCCGTGTTCCCACAGCATATCCTAAATGTCCACACTCATGGTGTTCATATTATTTTGTGTAATCTGCAAACACTATGGATAAATGGCGTGTCCTACTGAGAGCTGAGAGTAACTGGTGTGTCTGATCTCCTTTCAAAATTAATTGTGACATGAGCTGCTGTGGGTACACAGCAGGAAAGAGGAAACACACAAAGAACTACTTTTCAGCAGCAGGGAATCCCGAGATGCTAAGATTACTACTTGGGAGACAGCTCTGAGACCTCCAATAAGCATTTTCCTCAGTACCTCTTGTGTGCCCAGCAGTGTGGCTGCTGCATATTCACTCAGCAAGTATTTATTGAGCTCCTACTTTGCTGTAGTTAACATCCTAGGGACTGGAGTGGGATGGTGAACAGGACAAAGCAAGTTTCTGTGTCTTGGAAACAGGGCTTAGATGATAAACAAGTAAACACAAGTTGAGAAAACCTCAGATTTTTAAAGATGTTTTTATGTGAGAAAAAGAGAGAGGGAGTGCTCCCTTCTCCTGGTTCATTCTTCAGCCACCAGCAGTAGGGCTGGAGGCTGAATTCTGGAGCACAGGGGCTTGATCCAGGTCTCCTGTATGGGCACCAGGGACTCAGTTACCTGAGCCATCACTGCCGTCTCTCCAGGGTCTGCATGGATAGAAAGTGGAGTCAGAAACTGGGGCCAGGACTCCAGCCCAGGCACTCTGAGGTGTGGCAGGGACACCTTAACTGCTGTAGCTTTCCTAGCCATCCTGAAAATTTCCAGTATTGATGAATGTCATGCAGAAAGCAAAAGCCAGGCTGGGTCTGGTGGAGGGCTGCAGGAGAGGATAATTTAGATTGGGTATTCAGGGAGGCCTCACCAAGGAGGGATGCTTCACTGTGAACTGAGAGTTGAAAAGGAGCCGACTGTGGGAAAGTATTCCTGGGAAAGAAGATCCTTAGAGGACATGGTCTTCCTAGCGTACAGTCTATAGTTAGAGTCATTAAAAACTACTTAGTGGCCCATGCCGGGTGAAAGGGCAAAATCTGGAGGACTGTACACAAAAAGATCCTTGGGAGAAGAAAGCAAACGGATGCCCGTGACTCTGGGTCTTCCCCACCTGGGAATCTGGAGTGGATTGGGGTCAGTGGAGGGCAGGGATAGTGCTGGGTGTGGGAAATGGGGTGGTCAGGACAGTGCTTCTTGACAGCAGTAGGAGGCAGATCAGGTGGCAGGGAAGACGTGATGGCCCACGGTGTAGGTGGCCACGCATGCCTTTGACAGAGGTATTAAGAAGTTAAAAGTGGCAAGGGACCACCCAGGTTCTCTGGGCCCTCGCTCCTCTGTGTGGTCGAAGGACCAGCAGCTTCAGCATTACCTGGACAACTGTTAGGGATGCAGACACGTGGGCTCCATCCGTCATCTGCTGATTCAGCATCTGCATTTTATCAGGACTACCAGGTGATTTGTGTGCACATTAAACTCGGAAGGATGACATGCAGAATTTATTAGACCCCTAGGTTTGCTGTCCTAAGCTAGGGTGTGTGTGTGTGTGTGTGTGTGTGTGTATGAATGAAAGAGAGCGAGGGAGGGAGGGAGAGAGAGAGAGAGAGAGAATATTGTATCAAATAGTGACCCTGGAGGCATGTGACATCTGTCACCAAATAAATGTTTCTTGGAATGGATAGCACACTTTTGTTTTTAGCTCAAATAGAAAAGTAAAGTAAAATTTGGTGAGTTTTCAGGTTTAGCAATCTGCCTAGCTAACAGGAGGCTTAGTGGATTTGGGACCTGAGCATCTTTCTAAAAGGCCACATACATTCTACTCTTGGGATTCAGACCATTTGTATTCAAGTAACTGTGCCCTTCCAGCCTTGTGACATTGAGCAAGTTACTTAAGTCTTTGAACACAGTTGTGCTGTTTATAAAGGGTGACTTCCAACTCCTCCCTTTCAAGGCAGTTGTGAGGGAGTGTGATCAGTGACAGCATCGAGTGGCTGTGGGGAGGAGGCATTCTGTTCCCCCCATCATCCCCGCTCTCCCTGAACAATAGCCCCAAATAAACCAAAGGAAGGACAAGCTGAGTCCTTTCTACGAGCCTGTTCCCCATCTAGTCATATCACTGTTCCTAGACCTGTTCCATCCGGAAACCAGGGAGTCGCACTTGCAGACATTGCTTGGGATCCAACGTTGATGCCTGTTTAGCATTATTCAGATACTGAAAATGGTGCATAGTTGTAGAGTACTTGTTACCTGGAGGCACTGCATTCAATATTGGAGGTGCAACAGAGAGCAGAAACTACCTATGAAGTTGGGGTCCAACCCAACAGACAGTGTGTAAGGTTCCTCACATGGCTTTTGGTACCACCCCATGAGTCCCAGGTAAGCTGAGGGGTTTCCTGGTCTCCACTCTCACCGTATCCCTAGAGCCTCACAGTGCTAGAGTATTTGTGTTTTGAATTAGGCTTATATTTCTTTAAATGGCACACCCATGCCACTGAGACCATCATGTGAGTCCTACTCTACAGGAATCCAGTGGCAAACCCCTAGGAAGCCGGAGTCAGGAGCTAGAACTAGGTACCAAACCCAGACACTCTGATAAAGGATGTGGGCATCTTAACCAGTAGGCCAATTTTCTGCCCCTACCCAATTATCTTTTTCATCTTTTTTTTTTTTTTTTTGACAGGCAGAGTGGACAGTGAGAGAGAGAGACAGAGAGAAAGGTCTTCCTTTGCCGTTGGTTCACCCTCTAATGGCCACTGCGGCCCGTGCGCTGTGGCAGGCGCCTCGCGCTGATCTGAAGCCAGGAGCCAGGTACTTCTCCTGGTCTCCCATGGGGTGCAGGGCCCAAGTACTTGGGCCATCCTCCACTGCACTCCCTGGCCACAGCAGAGAGCTGGCCTGGAAGAGGGGCAACCGGGACAGAATCCGGCGGCCCGACCGGGACTAGAACCCGGTGTGCCGGCGCCGCAAGGTGGAGAATTAGCCTAGTGAGCCATGGCGCCGGCCCCCAATTATCTTTTAATTCACCTTTCAGATGCCCTGGCCCCATATATGAATATATGTTTATTCTTTGTGAGTATAAATGCAGAGGCATAATAAAAGAGAAAACTGTTTCCCCCAAATTATCATCACAAAACATGCATGTGTCTAATACATAAAACTAGGAAGTTGGCATCTGTAGCATATTTTTACCCAGTGGAACTCTTCTGATCTTACCAGAATCATAAAAAGCTACATGAAATAATTAAAATGAGGCCAAAGTCATCTGTCTATCCATCCATCCATCCATCCATCTATCCATCTATATGGGTGTGTGCATGTATGTGTGTCTGTGTGTGTTCTAGAAGGGAAAGCACACAACATTTTACACACTAAATTTAGTTTTGAATTTCTTTTTTTTCTTTTATTATTTTTAAAGATTTATTTATTTATTTGAAAGAGTTACACAGAGAGAGAAGGAGAGGCAGAAAGAGAGAGAGAAAGAGAGGTCTTCCATCTGATGGTTCTCTCTCCAAATGGCCACAATGGCTGGAGCTGTGCCGATCTGAAGCCGGGAACCAGGAGCTTCTTCCAGGTCTCCCACATGGGTGCAGGGGCCCAAGGACTTGGGCCATCTTCCACTGCTTTCCCAGGCCATAGCAGAGAGCTGGATAGCAAGTGGAGCAGCCGGGACTTGAACCGGTGCCCATATGGGATACCAATGCTGCAGGTGGCAGCTTTACCTGCTACGCCACAGCGCTGGCCCCTAGTTTTGAATTTCTATCAAATCTTACAACAATCTGAGCTGGCTTCTTTCTACTGAAGAAGATTGAAGTATCATTACATAAGAAAAAAATCACAAATATTTCTTTTCAAGTGACAAAGAATCCAGCATTGCTGCTTGACAGGCAAAGTAATGTGATTACAGACCTTCCTATACAGGCGAAATATTGGTATGGTATATTGGAAAGTGACATGCAGAAAAATCAGACATAATATTCAAAAATAGCCTTGATTTTTATTATTTTCCAAAGCCATCCTCTCCAAGGATCAAAGTGTGGCTGTGGGTATGGCTGTAGAGATAGAAAGAGCTGAGGGTTTGCAGCAGGTTACCTAAGAGTATCGTTTATTCACCTCACCAAGTAACACTGTCTTACAGATTTGCTTCATATTCCTCCCAATCACTTACAGCTTCTGACTTGTGATGACATTAATATTAATGCAATGATGGAAAAATGATACTTTGTGGAAACTTGATTCCATTCAGTGTTACAGCCCCACTTTTTTGTCAAGGAAATGATGTTTTTGCCATTTACAAAGACAAATCCATATGTGATCAAGACTAAGAAGACACGACCCGAGGGAGGTGAGTTAGAAAAGCTCGAGGTTTGCTGCAGCCACCTTAGGGGCTAACTCATCAGGACATAGGTCTGTCTAATGGCTTATTCTAGAAGCAGGAGAAGGCAGAGAATGTCTGCTACTCCCATGTCATAAGCATAAAGGAATTGCTCTGGCAGCTTGTCGAAGCTGCCGACGCCGGTGAGGATTGCTGGCGGGGCTGGGGCCGCAGAGCCAGGCTTCTGAACTCTGGGGAAGTCACAGGACTCCAGGACTTCATCAGTAGAGCTGGAGCTCTGATTTTCTGTGCCTGTCTCTACTGCCCTGTGGAGACATCAAAATGTCAGCTAGTTTCTGTGTCTATGCAGGACAGGTTCTCAACCATGTCAAAACCATGCACAAAATGCTTTTGTACATTTTTGTCCTGGGTGATCTCTTTGCCTCATAGGTGAGGTGGACACTTGAACGTGTCCCATGTATTTAAAGGTTGTAGAAAGTCAAACTAGATAATTTGATTTCCTCTCTTGCAGCCTTAAAAATCTCAAGGGCAGATTGCATAACCTCTTGGACCCAATACATATTAATGTACTATTTAAAGAATGCATAATGTTGAATAGTTGGTATTGAATGATGTGATTAAAAGAAAGTTCAAGATGGCTTTTTTTTTTTTTTTTTTTTTGACAGGAAGAGTGGACAGTGAGAGAGAGTTCCATTGGTTCACCCTCCAATGGCCACCACAGCTGGCGTGCTGTGGCAGGCGCCTCATGCTGATCTGAGGCCAGGAGCCAGGTGCTTCTCCTGGTCTCCCATGGGGTGCAGGGCCCAAGGACTCGGGCCATCCTCCACTGCACTCCCTGGCCACAGCAGAGAGCTGGCCTGGAAGAGGGGCAACCGGGACAGAATCCGGCGTCCCAACCGGGACTAGAACCCGGTGTGCTGGCACCACAAGGGGGAGGATTAGCCTATTGAGCCACGGCGCCGGCCTCTAGATGGCTTTTAATAATTCCTTCCTGTCCATTGGGTCCTTCATCTTTTCACGCAAAGCACGATATGTCATTTATATAATGCTCATTAGACCATTTTTTTCTACTCCTCTTGTGTAACTGGGAACACTGATTTGGACAAAATACGGTAACATCACAATGTCCTAAACAGAGAGAAGCTAGAGTCTGGGTGTGTACAGCTCTGGATTTTGCTCTTGCCTGGACTCGTGATTCTCAGACTTCTTCAGGAGGTAAGCTGCTTGAAGATCTCCGAGCTCTTGGAACTTTAGATACCAAAGTTAAAATAACCTGTATATGATTTTGATTGCATCACAACCCGTCTAAGATTAGATTCATATATGGAAATATTAGCAGACATCAAATACAGGAGAAACAAAGCCTTAAAACTTTGCACCTTTGAATACATTTCCCCCCCCTCAAAATTGGAAAAGAGCACAGTTGTTCTGTTGGAGCTATGGGATACCTTGACCTAGTTATGGCACACCAGTGTTTTTCAAGAATATAATTTTTAAAACATGGCTGTAGCTATCCTGTTGGTTCAGAAATTGCAAATCTCTGCACTGGCCATTATTTTTGTTTTTGCCACTTAGCGTATTGACCTTGGTGATTACACCACAAATACCCGCTTGCTTTCTGACTCTGTCCGTCTTGGCCTCTTTCAGCAACATTGCTTTTCAGGTTTATTTAGCTCATTAAATACCTTGCTTCTCTGGACAGTACCCCAGGAGTATTAGTTGGCATTTTCCCCAGCTGAATGCCATTTTTTCCGCCAGCACATTTTCTTCACCTGAGAAAATCTTTTGCTGTTGTTTCCCTGGCCTTATGGGTGTCCATGGCACCTTCTTTGTTTTGTCTCACTAGTAGAGTACTGTTTACTCCAGTCCCTGGCCATCAGGGAACTCACAGGAGCTCAGGGTCACCAAGGGAACCTGATTATTTGTATTCAGGATCTCACTTTCTGTGCAGAAACAAGTACCTGGATGGCCTGTCTTGTTTTAAGAGAGAGGGTTTGATATACTTTCAGTCCAATATTTTTTACAGCTTATTTTTTTTTTTATTTGAAAGGCAGAGCAACACTGAGAGGGAGAGATAGAGATACCTTCCATCTGGTGGTTCACTTCCTAATGCCAGGGCTGGGCTAGGCTAAAGCCAGGAGCCAGGAATTCCATCCTGGCCTTCCATGAGAGTGGCAAGTCCCAAGTACTTGAGTCATTGTTGATGCCCCCAGGGTGCACATTAGCAGGAAACTGGATCAAAAGCGGAGGGGCCAGAACCTGAACCAGCACTCCAACATGGAATGTGGCATCTCAAATGGTGTCTTAACCCACTGTGCCACAACACCCACCCAGAGTCCAATGTTGAAGAAAGATTTCATGAGCTCTTTCCAAAAACTAAGTGGTGCACTTGTATCAGATTGAAACACCTTTACTATGTTTCTATTTCAGCATTTGGTTAGGAGAGTGCATTCTGTAGATTTTCTTTTTTTTTTTTCCCAGTATCTATGTGTAGAGCTGCTGCTGATGGACTGGTTGTTGACAAAGTTCTCTAGGTGGCTTGCAAGGTGGTCCTTCCCGCATCCTCCACTCTGTAGGATTCCCAGGCCTTAGGGTCATCCACCTTGTGTCTTGGACACCCTTCCCCATCTACACACCCCTAGGGCTGTACCCACCTTGTACTCTGCAGAGATTGCCTGTCTTCTTGGTAGTCACTACTGTGCACTCTCCTCTTTGGGATTTTTCTCTCCCCAAACCCATTCTCAGAGTCTAGTGTTTCTTCCTGGCTACCAACTTTCTCATAACATCCCCAAAAATGCAGCAACAATTTTTAGAGTTTTGTAGTTAACCCCATAGACCAATAGCCTACATAATGTAAATAATAAGCCTAAGGAATTTATAGGGATTATAGGATTTTACAAACTGATGTGGCTGTGAGCAGAAATCGCATTGATTTATTGCAGCTTATTTTATTTCTGAGTGTGGCTCACCCAGCTTTCCTCTTGTCCTTCCAATTACATAAGCCATGCACATTGACTCACCCCTCTTCCATGTACTGTGGCCTGAAGTTAGCAGCACCTTTATGCTAGTCTCAAGAATGTGAGTGGTTTGCATATCAGAGGTCTTTCAGATTAGACAGATCCCTGGACTCTACCCAGAGCAGTAATTCCTCCATTTCTCATTCTCACTCACTAAGCTCTGTCACTGCTCCACCACTCTTCAGCTATTTTAAGAGTTCAGGCAAATTGTCCCTTCATTCAACTAGAAAGTGAGCTCAATGAGAGCTGCTACTTCATCATGTCCACTGTTGCATCCTTGACACTGAAGAAAGTGGCTACCACACCCCTTTTTGTACTGGACAGCGAACAGTGAGCAGGGAGGGAGGAATTGGAAAACAATAAGTTAGAAACAGAAGATGGGGTGGCTTGCAGTGCTGTGATGTGGCAGGTGAGTCACTGCCACTGATGCTGACATCCTGTATGAACGCTGGTTTAAGTCCTGGCTGCTCCACACTTCTGCCCCAGCTCCCTGCTAATACAACTTTGAAAGCAGCAGAAGATGGGCCCCTGCACCCTCGTGGGAGACCCGGATGAAGCTCCTGGCTCCTAGCTCCAGCCTGGCCTAGCCCCAACCATTGTGGCCATTTGGGGAGTGAATCAGCAGATGGAAGATCTCTCTTTGTCTTTTCTTCTAATTCTGCCTTTCAAATAATTTTTTTTTAAATGGAAGATGGCATTCTACTCATCAAGAAACATTGAAAGGAAGTCTTAACACTTTAGTAAAGGCAGAAATATACCATTTTTTTTTCTGGAAAAAATATTACAAAGATTTCAGTTATTCCCTTAGCTTAATGAAATTCTGATCAAAAGGCAATTGAGTTTTTCATTTTAACTTATCGACATTATTTTAGGGATCTACACAAGAGACATAAATAGATATTTTCACCTAAAATGTATGAGTGTTCATAGTAACATCATTCATAATGGGTTTATTTATTTATTTTAAAACATTTATTTATTTATTTGAAGGAGTTACACAGAGAAGGAGAGGCAGAGAGAGAGAGAGAGAGGTCTTCATCCACTAATTCATTCCCCAGCTGGCCGCAATGGCCAGAGCTGCACTGATTTGAAGCCAGGAGCCAGGAGCTTCTTCCGGGTCTCCCAAGGGATGAAGGGGCCCAAGGACTTGGGCCATCTTCTACTGCTTTCTCAGGCCATAGCAGAGAGCTGGATCAGAAGAGGAGGAACCAGGACTAGAACTGGTGCTCATATGGGATGCCAGAGCTTCAGGCCAGGGCGTTAACCCACTGCGCCATAGTACTGTCCCCGTAATAGCTTTAAAAGTGGAAACAACTCAAGTGCCTGTCAACTAAGGAATGGAATTATGGCACATCATTCAGTGAAGCATGACTCAGCAGAAAGAAGGAATGAGGTGCTACAACATGGGTAGTTGAAGATATGATGCTCTATGGAAGAGAACCAGACACAAAACTCCACAGTCTTGGATTTTTCACTACATTTCCATAAAAAAAATCTAGGAAAGGCAAATCTGTAGGGGCAGAAAGTAGATTAGTGGTTACCTGGAGCTGGGACTGTGGGAGTGACTGCAAATGGGCATAAGAATTTTGTTTTGTTTTTTGTTTTTTCCTAAAATATCTAGTTTTGCATTGATTCTTGGCCTTTTGGCTAAGAACATGTGAAGATTTCTCTTTGGGGTGATGAAGAGATTCTAAAATGAGACTCCAGTAATGATTACACAACTCAATAAATAACATTAAAATCCATTGGATTGCATACTTAAGGTGGATGGATTTTATGCTATGTAAATTGTGTCCTGATAAAGCAAGACCAGTAGTCCCTGCTTATGCACATGGCAACACATTCCAAGAGCCCTACCAGATGCCCACAACTGAAGAAATATACTACCAAACCCTATATTTACTGTGTTTTTTTATATATGCATATTGCTTATAAAGTTTAATTTACAAACAAGGCACAGAAAGAGATTAATGACAACAATTACTAATAAAATAGAACAATTATTAAAATAGAATGTAATAAAAGTTCTGTGAATGTGGTCTTATAGTATCTTATTGTATTGTACTTGTGAGGATGTGAAATGATACAGTTCCTACATGATGAGATGACGTGAATTGAATGACAAAGGCATGATGACGTAGTGATGGACTACCATAGACCTTCTGACAGTAGGATAATTGATGTTGCTGATTGACCCTGAAACTGCAGATGGGGGCAGATACTGTAGAATGTTCTAAAGTTTATGTGTTGTAATAGGGAAGTATGAGGAGCCAAACCAATTTTGGTGGGGTTGGGAGGAGTAGTGGTGGGACACCAATTATTCTCTGGAAAAAAATCTCAGAATTTGTGAATAATAGGAGTACTTAAATAAGAACCCAGGACAGGGCCTGCGCTGTGGCGCAGTGGGTTAACACCCTGGCCTGAAGCGCTGGCATCCCATATGAGTGCTGATTCTAGTCCCAGCTGCTCCTCTTTTGATCCAGCTCTCTCTATGGCCTGGGAAAACAGTAGAAGATGGCCTAAGTCCTTGGGCCCCTGCATTCCTTGGAAGACCTGAAAGAGGCTCCTGGCTCCTGGCTTTGGATCAGCACAGTTCCGGTGGTTGTGGCCATCTGGGGAGTGAACCAGCAGATGGAAGACCTCTCTCTCTCTGTCTCTACCTCTCTCTGCAACTCTGTCTTTCAAATAAATAAAATAAATCTTAAAAAAAAAAAAGAACCCAGGAGTCTGTCTTGACAACAAACAAACCTAGACCAAAATTGGACAAACAAGAAACTAAAAACGGGTCAGATTTTAAAGCAAAACACAAAATGATAAAATTTTTAGGAGAAAAATGGGGATAAATTTGGAGGCCACTGGTCTTGGTGAAGGTTTTTAAAACATGACACAAAATCCACAAAAGTAAAAACAATCTATGATTCCAGCTTTATCAAAATTAAAAGGTTTTCTCTATAAACACCATGTTAAAAATTGAAAGATGACCTACAGACAGAAAATATTTGCGAATCACATGTCTTTCAAAGGACTCAGATCCAAGTTTATTTTTAAATAGTGATGATACCCAATGCTTATAATGATGAGAAACTGGAGCTCTCATACATTGCTGACCAGAAGATAAAATAATAACCATCACTCATAAAATAATGTGGTAGCTTTTATCAAAAACTAAACAGATTCTTATACAACCCAGCATTCACACGTCTGGGCATTTATCCCAGAGAAATGAAAGCTTACATCCACAAAAAAACCCTACACTATTATTCATTCCAACTTTATATGTAATAGCCCAAATTGGAAACAACCAAAATGTCTCTCCATAGGTGGAATGGCTAAACAAGCTGTAGTAAATTCACACCATGGGATACTACTTAATAAACCAACCAAAAGGAGTTGTTGATATAAGCAACAACTTGGATGGGTCTCAAGTGATGAGTGAGAAATGTCAGTCTCAAAAGGTTCACGGTACGTAATTCCTTTTGTGTACATTCTCTAAATGCCAGCATTCTAAAAAGGAAGAACAAATGAACGGTGGTCAGAGGTTGCAGATGATTGATTGGGTGGATTAGGGGAATGGGGTGGGGGAGGCATGCAGAGAAGGTGAGTTTAACCATAAACCAGAACAACAGAAATCACTGTGGCGGAATAGTTCTGAGTCTTGATTTCTATACTTGTGACAAAATGACATAGAACTGTACATTCACATTGTACCATTGTCCATTTCCTGGTTCGATATTGTGCAGCAGTTATATAAGACATAACCTTTAGGAAACACTGGATGAGAAGTATACATGGAACCTTTGTCTACTCTCTGCCACTTTCTGTGCATCTGTAATTTTTAACTTAAAAAATTGACAAAGTATGCAAATGTAAGTGTATTGAATAATTTGAATAATGAGAGATATAGCTAACATCATAATAAGTAATTTTATAGTAAAAATATACAATAAGGGACCGGTGCCATGGCACAGTAGGTTAATCCTCCTCCTGTGGCTCTGGCATCCCATATGGGCACCAGTTCTAATCCCAGCTACTCCTCTTCCAATCCAGCTCTCTGCTATGGCCTGCGAAAGCAGCAGAGGATGGCCCAAATGCTTGGGCCCCTGCACCATGTTGGAGACTGGGAAGAAGCACCTGGCTCCTGGCTTTGGATCTTAGCAGCTGCAGCATTGTGGCCATTTGGGGAGTGAACCAGCAGAAAGAAGACCTTTCTCTCTGTCTCTCCCTCTCACTGTCTGTAACTCTACCTCTAAAATAAAATAAAAATAAAATATTTAAAAATATATACAATAAGAAAATCAATGAAAGATTTTTAACATGTCAAAGGTAATACTTTTTTGTCAGCAGGTCAAGATTTCTAAAGAAGTCTTACTAGCTTAGCTATTCAGTTTTTTTTTTAAAATAAAAGTTTTGTCCCTGCTTTTTACTGTACTCCAGAATGAATTCCAGATAGATCAAACATTTTAAAAAATTAAGAAAATACTAGTTAATATATACTAGATCTCAGGTTATTTAGACTGTTTCCACCCAGGAAGCCAAGACCAAAGTTATGAAGACAATGATTGATGTTTTTTACCACATAATTTTTTTTTTAACATTTTAGGTAATATCAAAAGGAAATTCAGGGGCAGCGCCGCAGCTCACTACGCTAATCCTCCACTTTGCGGCGCCAGCACACTGGGTTAGTCCGGTCAGGGCACCGGATTCTGTCCCGGTTGCCCCTATTCCAGGCCAGCTCTCTGCTGTGGCCAGGGAGTGCAGTGGAGGATGGCCCAAGTACTTGGGCCCTGCACCCCATGGGAGACCAGGAGAAGTACCTGGCTCCTGCCATCGGATCAGCGCGGTGCGCCGGCCGTGGCGGCCATTGGAGGGTGAACCAACGGCAAAGGAAGACCTTTCTCTCCTCTCTCTCTCTCACTGTCCACTCTGCCTGTCAAAAAAAAAAAAAAAAAAAAGGAAATTCAGGGGCCAGTGTTGTGGTGTTGCAGGTTAAGCTTGCCACCCCAGCAACCCATATGGGCTCTGGTTCGAGTCCCAGCTGCTCAACTTCTGATCCAGTTCCCTGCTAATGGAAGATGGTCCAAGTGCATGGACTTCTGCAACCCACGTTGAGGTCTGGATGAAGCTCCTGGCATTGGCTGTTGCAGAGGATGGAAGACCTCTCTCTCTCTCTCTCTCTCTCTGTCTCTCTCTCTTTTAACTCTGCCTTTCAAATAAATAAAATAAATGTTTTTAAGAAAGGAAATTTGAGTGTATGACAAAAGTAGGAAAGCATTTTCAGTATTGGTACAAAAAGTTTGACATTCTTAATGTAGATAAATTTTTTCCAATACCTAAGAAAAAATAAAGATTTTAGTTAATTAAGAAAGGAATTGAAAATAATTTAGAAAATGAATTCAAATAGATAAGAAAATGATTTATTTCATTAATAATGAAAGAATAAGATTAACAATAGCTGTATTTACCTGTCAAAATGGCAAATAAAAAAATCCCACACTTTCTTCCAGAAGATAATATTTTCTCTTGCTCAGAAATTTGGGAAATGTATTTGCATGCAATGCAATGTAAGTTTTAAAATTGGCGTACTTTTTGATTAATTCCACACTTAGGAATTTAACTTTATACTAGTGGTAGCAATGACAAAAAGCAGTAAACACCATAGTAATGATAGCTAATCCATATTATGTGCCAAGCATTTTTCTAAGCACTGTGTATTTATTAACAAAACTGCACTGAGGCAGGCTTTATCGATAGGAAAACTGAGGTTCATGGGGACAAAATAATTTATCCCAGGCCACACGGTTAATAATTGGCAGAGTCAGGATTTGAACACATGGTGTCAAACTTGAGCAAACACAATGTTGGTGACTATCCTACTTCCTCTCTTCCTATGAAAATAATTCAATGTGTAAAAATTTACATGGATGTTCATCACTGCTTCCTTTTTAATGGTGGAAACTGAAGCAACTCCAGTGTTGAGAAGTACAGAATAGACTGCATCATCTGTAGGCTACCCATCCACTGCACTGAAAAATCAGCACCCATTAAAAACGATGCTGTGGGCCCAGTGCTGTGGCGCAGTGGGTTAATGCCCTGGCCTGAAGTGCTGGCATCCCATATGGGCGCCGGTTCAAGATCCAGCTCTGTGCTATGGCCTGGGAAAGCAGTGGAAGATGGCCCAAGTCCTTGGGCCCCTACACCCACGTGGGAGACCTGGAAGAAGCTCCTGGCTCCTGCCTTCAGATCGGCATAGCTCTGGCTGTTGCGGCCATCTGGGGAGTGAACCAGCGGATGGAAGACCTCTCTCTCTCTCTCTCTCTCTCTCTGTGTGTGTGTGTCTCTCTCTGTCTCTCTCTCTCTCTGCCTCTCCTCTCTCTGTGTAACTCTGACTTTCAAATAAACAAAATTTTAAAAAAAGCAACGCTGTAACGGCAGAGTTGGCAAACTTCCCATAGACAGCCAGACCATGAGTATCTCAGGCTTTGCCAGCCAGGTGGTCTCTGTCGGAGAACTCAGTTCTGCTACCAGCACAATAGCAGCCACAGACAGCCCACCAAAATGTATACCGGTGAGAGTGCCTACGCTTCAAATAGGCATTCCCGGCAAAAGCAGGCTGGAGGTTAGCTTTATCCCCTATATACATCTAGAGTTCGCTGATTCCTGCTGCGGAATGAACACAAGAATGTTGACATGAAATGTTCATAGTACAGTAAGTGAAAAAGCAGGTCAGAATCACCGAAGACATGTACATACGTATTTATAGTTCAAACAGATATCATTTGGGAAATTGGTAGAAGGCTACCAAAGATGCTGCTGATTGGCTCCCTAAAAGTTAGTGCTCATCCCGCCCCCACCCCCCCTTGGTGTCTGCTACTCCACAGGTACAGAAGCCAAAAGCTCACCTTCCTCCTGGCTTGACATGTGGAGCAGCTCTGTCTCCATTGTGGCCTCCATGATCGAAGCACAGGTCTACAGAGGACGGTTTCTGAGAATGCTCTTACTTTTTACTTTTGGTCATAAAAGGATACTTCCAGTCCTGGGACCGAGATCCCACTCACTCGCAGGAGTGGAGTGTGAAAAAGAGCCTGCGCCGCTTGTGCCTCTCCAGTTAAACCCCTGCCTATTCCCATTTCTTATTGTAAGAGAAACAATAACCCCGACATGGTCAAGCCATTGTTGGCCAGCTTTGTTGTAACCTACTTCCGCATGCATCCCTTAACTCAAAGCAACATGAAAAGGAAACTCTGCGTTTGTCATTTTGCCTCGGACAAGCCCTGGCTTCTCAGAATTTCAGTTTTCCACTGAAGAGAGCCCAGACTCAAGGACAGTGTAAACAGACCCCTAAAAATACAGCCAGGCACTGGTGGCTCTGGTGATGGGACGCCACAGGTAATTTTTTTCACTTTTTTTTTCTTTGTGTATATTTCTTTTTTGGTTAAACATGTCTAAAATGACCATGGATACATTTTGTAATCATAATACAAAAGAAAATGTTAATAAGAACAGCTCTTGTTACAGAACTCTTGCACTAACTACAGGATAAAAAAAAAAAAAAGCATACCTGCTTACAGAAGTAGAAATGGAGGCAGACAATGTTTTGTTTGGCTAGAGAGGCCATTTAAGGATTTTAAAGCTAACATTACCCCCTCCCCAATAAAATAACTCACTTGGACTAAACTCGAGTTGAGAATAACCAGGTATTCTCACAGATGGACTCGAGACAGCTGATTAGACAGACACAGCTTGGTCTGACACGTCTTATCAGGAAGCCGTCCAGCTGTGTCTGGTTTGAGGCCCTTGCACACAAGCAGTAATTCTACCCTCACTTGAGATAGAAAGACCAAACCCCCTCCTTAGAATGTGAAATGTCCACCTCCAGTTGAACATGGAACTCATGTAACATACAGGATTACTAAGTGGACATGTGTTCCCACCTCCTTTTAAATATGCATCACCTTTCTCCCAGAAAATTAGTGCAAGTGTACGACTCTCCTAAAAGTCAATTCTATAAGACAGTCTTGCTCCTATCATACACAACCCTAATGAAGTCCTTTCTGCTCATAGCTCTAGATGTTGTTTGTGGTTCCCCTGGCGTGCACTCTAGACAAGAACCCTCAGGTCTTCTGCCTCATGACAAAGCTTGCTTATCCTGCTCCTGGAACTTAGGTCTAGAGAAAGCAGGTTAAGAAGGAAATTATAACAAAATGATTGAGAATGGGCCGATGGCCAACTGTCACTATTCTGCAGGCCAGAAGCTCAGGGTTTTGAGAGGCTCATAACCATTTAGCACCTGGTAGAATGGTTCTTGCATAAGTTAACCCCTAAAAGCCATCAGATTATTTCTGGGACTAGACTGAGCTACATTTAAATTTTTTTAAATTCCTGGTTTCATCATTAAAGAACAGAAGGTAAAAGATACACCTTCTGTAATACAGCAGAATCTCCTAAGCAAGCACAGCATGAAGTGGGGATTAGAAAACAGCCATTGGCCGGCGCCACGGCTCACTAGACTAATCCTCCACCTTGCGGCGCCGGCACACCGGGTTCTAGTCCTGGTCGGGGCACCGGATTCTGTCCCAGTTGCCCCTCTTCCAGGCCAGCTCTCTGCTGTGGCCAGGGGGTGCAGTGGAGGATGGCCCAGGTCCTTGGGCCCTGCACCCCATGGGAGACCAGGATAAGTACCTGGCTCCTGCCATCGGATCAGTGTGGTGCGCCGGCTGCGGCGGCCATTGGAGGGTGAACCAATGGCAAAGGAAGACCTTTCTCTCTGTCTCTCTCTCTCACTGTCCACTCTGCCTGTCAAAAAAAAAAAAAAAAAAAAAAGCCATCGACAGTGTCGTCCATCGATAGAAAATGCCTTGGGAAAGTACCATGTCACACACAAGGTATTCAGCCGTGTACACAATGCATTTTCGCATTTTCTTCTTATAAGAGTTAAAGCTTTTATAGTTCTGTTGACTCTATGGGATTGTTTCCATGGCTTTGTTTCCTTCAGGTCACTAAGGTTTCTGTTTCCTGTTTCCCTCTGTTTCAGAGCTGGTTAAGACAAGGTGTCCTCTTTCCGGTTTGATTTTTAAGGCAGATGCAGAGCTGAGTATTTGCTTCAGGCTACATTTCCCAAGTCTCCCCCACCCCCTCTTTTCTCACTTCCCTAAAAAGGTGCCTGCAGCCACTGCTTCCTTCAAGGTAGCCACCTTGGGGGCTTGTGCCTCACCTTTGCACCTGTTGTCCTGAGGCCCAGGCTGGGAATGAGATTCCTGAGATGGAG